TGAACTAGACTACCTATAAATATAATAAAGATTATACTGTTCGGAACACTAGCCTTACTAAAATGATAACATTTATGTCCCTTCACTAAAGATTCTGATACTTGACTTTGTAATGAAAGCGCGCCATTCGCGCCAAAGGATTCTAAACATAAAATTCTAAAAACATATAGACAAATTCAACCTCTTTTTGAAGTCAGTCAAGTTTAGGTAATGATTGAGTTGAGTTTGCTTATTAGACTTTTCACAATAAAACATACTTTATATGTTTTGACCTCATTTGCATTTTCATTATAAGATTATCTGTTCATTGTGTATGTAGTTCATGAGGGCAATTGGATTAAAAAAAAACAATATCCAGTTTATACCAGTTTTGTATATATGAAATAATTTAAATGCAACTGCATTTCTACTGTCAAAAACTAATAAAATATATTGTCCTTTTTTTAATGAGAAATATTCTTTTATATTGTGCAAGTTTAAAAAACTTTTAAATAGTTTAGTTTAAAAACGTAAAAAATCTTATTGGATAAGTATGTGTAGCCAATTAGTAAACGACGACTACGACTTAGGGTCCTTCAAGAAGCGAGCATATCAGCATCTTAAAGGCCGGCAACGCATCTGCGGTTCCTCTAATATTGCTGATGTCCATGGGCGACATTGAACATCTTCGTGTTCCCGCTGCTCGTTTGCCCCCTTCTGTTATAAAAAAAAGAAAAATTATACTTAGTTTTATTGATTTTTAAATTTGTATTTTTCTGACAGGCCAAAGCAACGACACCGGTTCGTACCGATCCACCGGAGAACTTCAGTTCGCCGGACAGTGTATCTGATGACGGCAGAAAGAAGAACTATCGCCGGGAGAAGAGTTTCAAAGAAGATCGTAGACCTCCAAAAGAAGGAAACGAAGATTTCGGACAAAGAGGAGGCAGCTTTAGGGGCAGGTATTTATACTTCATTCAAAATAATAGTTTAAAAGGATTTTTTATGTTACAAATAAACTCAAAAACTACTCAACTAATTTAAAAAAATTTGACACTTTTATAATGCTGCAGCATTCCTGATTGACATAGGCTATATTCAGTACTAGCTGTCGCCCGCAACTTCGTCCGCGCGTAATTAAAAAAAAACTTAATAAGTAGCCTATGTGTTCTTCCAGACTATGTTCTACATACATTGCAAATTTCATCTAGATCTGTTAGCGGTTCTGGATATCTTCAAAAATCATCCATCGTTCCATCATCCATCCGTCTGAACATTCGTATTTATAATATGAGAAAGATTATTTTTAACTTATTAATTATTTTGCTGGCTATTTAACTAGCTCGTGTATTATTTGCAAGCAAAGTTTTTTTGCACCTTTAATGTGTAATCAGTTTCGTGTTTGATCGCGCGTGTCGTTGCTAAATCGAACGTTAGTGAAACTTTCTAAACAATCTTTTCGTAGAATACAACAGACTGCATTGTTCCTTTCGCCGTAATCATCTTTTAAATGCAATTGCGATTTTACTGACTGTCTATTTGTAATTATTGATAATGATTACTTTGTGGTATTATTTCAAAAGAGGATATAACATTTTAAGTATATAACAAGTAAATTTCAAAAATTTGACGATAGGAGCTAATTTTGTTTTTTTTTTTTGTTTTTTACTTAATTTTGCCCTTTTGTACTAGTTAAAAAAAGTTGACTAAAAAGACGAATTTTAAATGAAAGTGTTTTGGAAATCTTAAGACTTAGTTATAGGAAATCTCAAACCTTCGATCCTCAAATCATTTATCTCATTTGTGATAAAGATAAAAAATAATTCAGATAATAGTGAGTCTTGCGTAAGATGTCAGATTACAAGTGACTCAATTTTCAGTGTTATTCAGGTTTTTTTAAACATTACGACAGAAAACCCACATACAGCCATATTTGTATATGTTTGAACTAGCGGTCGCCCGCGGATTCCTCAGCTTCCTTCCCGTTAAAATCGTGCCAGGCCTTTTAGAGATTACCTGTAACAAACGCGGTCAATTTTAAAAATTAGTTTTTCGCTATAACTAACCCAAATCGTGTTTACAAAATATGTTTTTTTTATCGATATTATTTAAGTACATGCAGACACTCCGATTTGAATACAGTCAAACCTAGATAAGCAAGATTAAAAGAGACCGCGATATTTTACTCGCTTATTGAATTTTCTCTCTAATCCGAGAGAGGATAATGACTCACTTGTAGAGGTTTCCTTTATCCTGGTTCGACTATATATATATATATATTATATTAGATAAATATGTATATAGATTTCTTGAACGTTGCATTAATACAAGATGAATCAATAGTCTACTAACATACATTTTGAAGTTTAAAATACCACTATAAATAAATGGTAGAATCGAACGTGAGAACTAGACGTGTATAATAATGATTGTTTCCTTGTAATCATTTCATTTACAAACAATATACTTTACTAATATTATAAATGGGAATGTTTGTATGAATGGATGGATGTATGTTAAAAGGTATCTTCAGAACTGCTGCATATATCTCCCTGATATTTGGCATATATTTAGAACATAGTCTGGAAGGACACATAGGCTACTAATTAACTCTTTTTAATTCCGCGCAGACGGAGTCGTAAGCGATAGCTAGTAATCTATAAATATTAATATTAATGTTTCCACAATGTTTCTGTAGTGAATATTTACACTTTTTACTTAGGTTCTAATTAAAAGAACGTAATTGACTCTTACCGCAACACTCAGAGTTGTTTAACGATTACTTAAACAGTATAAATGATACTTGGTGTAATATTTCTGCCACAATTCATATTTAATTTCAAAGTTATCTCAAAAAACAATCTATGTGTTGACCGATTAGTTCGTGATATGTATAAAAAAAGAAAAAATTATCAATGTACCCTATATTTTTGATTTATTTGAAAATATTGTGAATGTTTAACAAATACTACTGGCATCTCGCTCTTCCTGAATTCGGAGCAAAAAATAACAATATAACAGCTTCATGGCTGCTTCGACCTTCGTTTGGGTTCTTTGAACCCATTGCACGCGACTTTTTAGTTGTTATGCGATTCCATACTCATAAGATGTATAGGTAATAGCCTCCGATGTTATTAATGATTATAAATTAATTGCTATATATTTATGATGTTTTTACCTATTTGTGTGTGTAAAAAAAGATTATTTGTAGCAGGGAACATAAGGAAGGCTTCGATCGGTCCGGACCAGGACGACATAGCGACAAATTTGGCGGGAAACCTGATAGAGGAGACAGGTTTGTTATAAAAGTTTTACTACAGTTATTAAAGTAACATAATTTAAAAAAAAACATAATTTTTTTTTTAATTATGTCACTTTCCAAATTATGCAAAAAAAATTATATACCATTTTTATATAAAAAAAAATTGTGCTTAGTCTGTATTCAAATTAATGACTCACTTGAACGTTATAAAGCCTTCTAATTGTAATAAACGAATAATAATTTTACAGTTACTTTATCTGTTTATGTAACATGCAATAATGTACCCTGTTGCTATGAAATTAGGTCTATTTTAAATTACACATGTTTTTTTTTTAAATGTTTAATTTCCTTCACTAAAGAGTTTATAGTTGCAGCATTTTAATTCGCCCTTCATTTTATATGTATTGCATTACGTAAGTTTTAGTTATGTAAAGTGAAACAGCTATGTCTTATCTTATTTGAAAGGTCAATAACTTCTGACTTTGATGAGTCATTCTAGAATTACATTTCATTTCACTTCGTAAGATGAAGGAAAACATTGTGATGCAACCTGTATATATCTGCGGAGACATTTAAAGATATGTGTGAAGTCAACCAACCCGCATTTAGTCAGGGTGGTTGACTATAACATAGTCACTCTTAGGTTACACTCTGAACCCCTCAGTGGAGACATATAGTGAGCTGATGCTGACATTATATGAACTTTTGAAGTTTATATATATATATATATATATTATGAAATAGAAGGACGCGACCTTGATATTTTAAGCGTCCTTTACTACCCATATTTGGACAAATTCATATTATTTTTGGATACAAGTGTATGAGCTGTAAAATTTCACAGTTAGTGTGGTAAATCCTGTATTTTTTTTATATTTTGTACACCAGACGTGGTGGCGGCAAGCCGCGTGAGAACCACGTGGTGTCACCACCTAGCCAGCCGGGTGTCGACAACTGGGACGAGAGCACCGCCCCGCCCCCACAGCCCGCACAACCCGCGCAACCCGCCTTCCAGCCGCGACAGAACAATAGAGAGTACCAAAGGTTAGTAAAATAAATACATATCAGAATGTTTATATGGTAATTAATTTTATATTAGACTCTTATGTTTTTAGAATAAAGAGGATATCGGGATTTTTTTTTCAATTTTTTGTTTTTTACTATTTTTTTTATTTAATTGGACCAATAATTTTGTATCGACCAGTTAGCTTTTAAGATGTAATTGTTACTTATTACGGTTAATTACTTGATGAATAGATACTACTACTTAATAACCTTTAAAATATCAGTCCACCTTAAATAAGTCTAGAAAATGTTAGAATAGGGTTAACTAGGAAACTAAACAATATAAACGTGCACAGAAGAAAACCTAGATCGGATCAGGACAAAACGAATCCGAAATCGGGATGGAAGGGGAAAGAGTCCGGGGTGGGGAAGAGACTGAAGCAGGCCGCGGAGGCCGCGTCAATGGAGGCGCAGGGTGCCCGGGGCTCCGTACAGGATCGGCTGCGACGGTATACCTGACTGCTTACCCCGCAATAACACCACCGTTATCTCACATGCTATCAACATAGCGTCAGCTTGCTGCACTCATACGTTAAAAGTATGCCATACCCACTTCAGTGTAAATTAATTTCCACTTAAGGAGTCTCTCAGTGTAGATTTAGTTTATTTTATATTATAAAGGTTCTTGCAAGTGGCCAACTGAATTTGCCGAAATAAAGAAGCGACCGTTGCCCGTAGACATCCGCAGTTGCAGATGCGTTGCCTATTTATAATCGATGGAGGAGGGTGCGCATATTATATACGGGGCGGGAATATTTCCCTTCCCATGCGTCCCCTCCTCCATCAAATCAACTTCTCTTTCACATTCTTGTTTTATCTGAAATGGGTCGAAAAAATTAGACCTCCGGCATGCACAAGGTAGATAAATCTACAATGAGGGACTACTAGGTGGACATCGATGATGACAATAACTCTGTTAAAAATTGTAAATATTTCCAACTAAATAACTAAATAAAAACTAATCTTTACAATTATAACCATTTTCAAATGCAAGCTTTAAATTATTAACACAATTATTACTAATATTATAAATCCGAAAGTTTGGATGGATGTTTGTTTCAAGGTATCTCCGGAACGCCTTAACGGATTTTGATGAAATTTGGCAAGGTCATGGAAGAACACATAGGCTTTAATTAGTTTTTTTAATTTCGCGGTGGCGGAGTCTAGTATTTAAATCATCATCAGCTCACTATACGTCCCCACCGAGGGGCTCGGAGCCTGCTCTAAGTTAAGGGTGATTAGGCCATAGTCAACCACGCGGGACCTGTACAGGTTGGTTGACTTCACACATATCATTGAATTTCTTCTCAGATATGTGCAGGTTGCATCACAATGTTTTCCTTCACCGTAAGAACGTCGGATAAATGTACATATGTAAATCGAAAAACACATTGGTACATAGGATTCGAACCCAGGACCTGCAGATTACGAGTCAAGTGCTGAAACCCCTGAGCCACCGACATATATTTAGTTACTTAGTACTTCCACTTGTACTTACACTTGTTTCCACTGTCACGTGTTTCTTAACAGGTGACAGTGGAAACAAGTAAACGACAACATTGTATGCCACTATGATGTTACAAATCCGTTAAACTATACATCAATATTAATTCATACATCAATTGTTCTTGTTTCTTCGCCCCATTTGCTCATTATTACGCTTGGGTACACAAATCATTAAGGGCTGTCCCATTGTCAATATGATGAAATGGTATTTTTCAATAATTTCACTTTAACTTAAACATTTTTATATTAAGCTAACTAACAAGAACAAATATATGTGAGAGTTATTATTTTTTTATTCAGCTTTTAGTATAGCTAAGGCGGTAATATTTGTTTGTTTGCATTGAATAGACTCCGAAAGTACTGAACCGATTTAAAAAAAAAATACTATTGGAAAGCTACAATATCCCTGGATGAGAACTTACTCTTACTAGTAATATTATAAAAGCTAATTTTTGGATGGATCGATGGATGGATGTTTGTTAAAGGGTATCTCCAGAACGGCTGCATGGATCTCGCTAAAATTTAGCATAGATGTAGAACATAGACTGAAAGAACACATATGCTATAATACAAATGAAGACTAACTGTTTCCTATAACGTCAATATGTTGTGACGTCATTATGCTGAGATTCCATGTTATTTTTCACAGTTAGTATTATGTTTGTAACAAATTTTGCCAACCCTAACCGTATGTGTAATTAACGGTACTCATGATACAAATGTTCTTTATAATTCAATTACAATTGAATTTATGCTCTCATCATCAGTAGAGTTTTTTTTATAGATAAAACAGATCTATTTCCATATACTTTTTTAATAACGGCACATTACTGTATACATTATCTTACTGTTTTACTGATATTATAAATGCGAATGTGTAAATGGATGGATGTATGACTGTTACTAGACTTTAGTAAGGCGGATTATTACGTTTGTCCAGCACGACGAAAATAATCTCAATGACGTTTGGCACAAATATAGAATATAGTCTCGAGAGTTTTTTTTTTAATTCTGCGGGCACGAAGTTACAGGCAAAAGCCAGTTTTTCAATCAATTAGGAATTATAGCTTATACATAAGTGTCAATATATGTAAATTGTACTTATTGTTTTATTTGTGTAATTAAACTAAGATTTCGTAATAAAAGTTTAATTAACTTAGTTAATCGTGGGTTTCTGACACCAAATTCTCTTTAAAAAAATATCGTCATCCCTGTCATTCATCTTTGACAAAACAGAGATAACAATATGTTTTAAACGGAGTTTGTGGTCTCAGAAACACATTGTAAGTAACATCAGCACTGTTTATCCTCTAAATAGCTTTACTTTTTAACCATGCTTCTAGGAAAACATCGTTAACTATGGATTGAAAAGTGTAAATAGGCATTTTTATTACAAACTAAAATTTCTTAAAGTGAATTCACTCATAAATATTTATTATTTCTTATTAAAACTATAAAAGCACATGTCATTTGGGTTTCACATTTCATGTTTGTGAGGTGATGGGTCGAATTATTTTTTTTTAATTGTCATACATAAAATCACGTGTTGTATTTCATCCATGAAATACCAATCTATGCATTTGTGACGATTAAATAACTAAATTAAACATTAACTTGAAGACATCTGACAGTTTCGTAATATTCAGATCACAATTTAAATTGGAAAAGAGGCCGGCAGTGCATCTGCGGTTCTTCTGGTATAGCTGATGTCCATGGGTGTCGTTGAACACCTCGGTGTTCACGCTGCTCGTTTGCCCCCTTCTGTTATAAAAAAAAGAATATAATTTCATGGGAAAATTAAATATATATTTTAAAATAGTTTCTTCTTTGGAATTCTACATATAGAGACTGTCAGATTTTTCACCTAATCCATATAGATATTTCATTATTTTAAATCTAATGTGTTTTTGATATGTTGTTGCAACTAACTTTAATAAAATCCCTTATTCATAACAAATTTATTAATTGTAAAAATATGATTGAAAATAACCATTAAATTTTGTTTTAATACTGTATATTTAAAATTATGTTATGAATCACGCTCAGTTTCGAATCATTTCGTGCAAACTAATTCGTTCCGATTGCAACTTTCACTCGTGCACTTTTAAGTGAAAGCGATTATGAACTCATTCGATATCGTAACCAACAATTCGGCTGTAATAAAAATTATTTTACATTTACAGGGACAATAAACCTAACCAAGACGAATGGGAAGAGAAAGATAAACCAAGAGAGAATAGACGCGAAAATCGTGGCGATAGACGTGATAACTGGGGAGATAAGAAAGAGAACTGGAATCAAAAGAGAGAGTTTAGAGACAACAGGTCCGATAGAGGAGAGAGAACTAAAAGCAACTTTACGCCAAGAGATCGCGCAGAGAGAACCGATCGATATGGATCCGATAGTGACAAGAAATCAGACAAGAGTTTCCGTTCACAGGATAGTAACAAGGGAGATCGCGCCGGCCGCGCCCCGCCATACAAGAGTCGAAGTAAATTCACACAAGTCCAATACAAGGAACTCCCAAATCCAGTTTCCCTGGACACACAATACGCTGAACAAACTATAGAAGCGAATGCACAACATGAGGTCTCCGTAACTTGGATCATATCGCCGGAGAACTTTTACACACAAATACTGTCTTTGCAGCCGAAGTTTCTGGAAATGATGCACTCCATACCTGAATTGTATAAAGGTGTGAAGTCGTACACTGGGATTGTGCCAGTTGGAGCATCGGTGTTAGCTCGCTATCCCGCCGATGGTGTCCTCTACCGAGCAACCGTTGTGTCCGTTCAACCTTTCTCTAAGTTCATAGTCAGATACGTCGATTTTGGCAACAAGCAACTGGTGGATGCGAAAGATATTTGGCAGTTAGATAGGCAGCTGTTGGATTTACCAAAGATGGCGGTTCATTGCTCTCTGATTGGTGTGTCACCGAAAGATGGTGAATGGAAAGCGGATCCTGAAATAGACCTGTGTTTCAATGCTCCGCGTTACCAGTGCGTATTTCAAGATAATGTGGACGGCCAGTATAAGGTGTCGTTGTGGAACAATGGAGTCAGTGTCGCCGACATGCTGGTGGAGAAGCAGCTCGCCAGCCTCTCGGAACATCAGTCGTCTGTTACTTTGAAAGGTAAATAATGTTTTAAAATTAAGCGAATGTAGATTCTATTTTAAACTATATTAAAGTCGATTTTCGTAGTTGTATGTTATCTTACTTGACATGACATCTTTTTTCGAATAATAATATTTACTTATTTGTATTTTTATACTGCAGACGATGATGGTGCTGAATACATGATTTCTGAGTCGCAAATATGCAAAGGTTCGATTCCCAGTTGGGACAATTATTATATGATGTTTGTGCCTATTGTATTTTGTCTATTGTGTGAACCTTTTCGGTCCAACGCATGACGCTTTGCATTAAAAAAAACAAGGATAGACTGCTCTTATCTCTTTCTCTTCTTACCTTTCCTTTTATCTATTTGTGAATGAACCTCGCTAGCTTGGTCTTATGAATGTTTGTGGAATGTCTTCTTGTAGGTTGTTGAAGTTATTTGATGGCGAAGATTTTATAATAAGCTAAAACTCTAACTCAATTTAAAAGCTATTTAGTAATAAGTGCATTTTAAAATGTATAGTTGTATTGCAATGTCATTTCAATCCAAATTGAACCAGTGTCATCGTATTCTAAAATTTTTGTTTTTTACAGTTGAAGTTAGTTTTTTTGTAAGTTATCCTTATAAGAAATCGGTCACTACATTCAAAATCCGTTTTTTTTTTTAAGCTAATTTTAGACATGTCTTGTAGTGACACTATTTTTTATATTGACAGATGACTATGTGACATTGTCAATCTCCTGTTTCAGACGAAGCGATAGATCTGACGATCATCATAGGTCAGCAGATCCTGTGCCGCGTGACGCATGTTGACTCCTTGGACAAGTTCTACGTCCAGCTCGACTTGGACAAAGCGGACCTAGTGGAGAACGCCATTGCCAACTTTGATGTTAATAAAGTAAGTCCTTTTATACATGGAAATCTTACTAAATGTTTGGATGTATAGATGAATGGATGGATGGATGTTTGTTAGACGGTATCTCTAAAACATCCGCATGAATCCTGCTGAAATTTAACATAGATGTAGAAAGTAATGTTAAAGAACACATGGCTACTAATTAAGTTTTTTTTTTAATTCCGCACGGACGGAGTCGCGGACGACGAAATTTGTAACATATATAAATTACAGTCTAAAATTACATTTACACTAGACTTATACCGAAATATTATACAGCTCTCGAGGGAAAGATTCATTTTTGCTTCATACAAAGCAATGAAAAAAATAAGTTTTTTCTTTTTTTTTAGCTAACTCCTCTTAGCGCGGAGAATCTCGCGGAAGGTATCCACTGCACCGTCCGACACGAGCAGAAGATATATCGTGCGATACTCAACGACGTGTCCGACACTGAAAACATAAAGGCAGTGTTGCCAGACTACGGACATTCTATTACTACATCCTTACAAAATGTAAATATTTATATACCTACATATTTATTATGCTTCTGAAAATATTGTTTAAAAGTCTATTTATATTAGTGAATAAAACTCGCTCTTATATATATATGTCACAATGGAAACAAACATAAAAGAGAAAATTATTTGCTTATAATATAGTTGTCATCTAAGTTGTCAATTAAAAATATTGTAATTCACTCGTTTTCAAGGATGTTTAGTAGAGATGTTTCTTCAGTGGAAACTCACAGTAATTGTGAATTTGCAGGTTATGATCCTGCCTACAGAGCTGAGCGTGTACTACTACCAGACGTTAGAGTGCGGCCTCAACAACTACAACGGTGACGTCACCGCGCTCATCTCACTTGATGACGTCAGAGCTCGCCTCACAGGGAACAAGTTCATTATATACATCAATAGTGTTGAAGGAATCAGGTTGGTTTATTATTGTATTACATACTAGTAGTCTCAAGTCTCTTCGTCCACGTGAAATTAAAAAAATCTAGAAATAAATATAGTTGTTGGCCATAGTGTAACTTCCCAGCAGTAAAAGAAATTTTCAAATAGCTTCAATAGTTTCTGAGCCTATTTAATGCAAAATATAAAATCTTTTCTCCTTATTATATTCAATTATACAAAAGATTAGTTCAATATTTTTTGTAATTAAAAGATGTCATCATAAAAAGCAATGTGTTCCTTAAAACTACCGAATAAATCATAAATTTTACTTTGATAACTTTACTGTAATAATAAATAATATTTATTAATCAAATGTTTGAAAATATAAAATTTCATGCATAGAATGATGACTGAGACATACAATTTTATTGTATTGTTTACTTTTGTTTATCTTTTTTTTAGATTATTAACAACGCTATATGACCGCACCACGGGACAAAAGATAGCGATATTTGAGCCTGATGAAGGAGCTTACGACGAAGTGGTACCACTCTGTACTCGGGCTGTGTTCAATTATAACTTTGGTATGGCGTTCATATCACATTTGGAGAACTTGAACGAATTCTACCTACAACGGACCTCTGATACAGATAAAATAGCAACACTTTTGGAAGACTTGTATAAGTTTTATGAAGAAGGTATGTTTATTTAAAATTAATAAGTTCATTTTCGTTTCATTTGATAAAAAATCATTATTCAAAATAGTAAAATTAACTATAAATTTTTTTCACCACTGTTCACACTCTTTTCAGGTACTCCTGAAGCACTAACAGAGTTCGAAGTGGAAGGTTTGTGCGCGGCCAAGTCAGCTGACGGCAACTGGTACCGCTGCAGCATTCTCAGCGCTGGGGAGACAGATATCAAGGTGCAGTTCACCGACTACGGCAACTCGGAAACCATTCCCAAGGCTAACCTCAAGAAACTAGATCCCAAGTTCTACGAACCCTGCTCCTTGGCCCTCGTCGCCAGCCTCGGGCTTGTGGCCCTGCAGGATGACACTCTCGCTAAACTGACCGAATGGACCACAGACAAGGAGGTCCAGGTCACCCTCGCGTTCGGTGACGACGGCTGGCTCGCCAGTTTACATCTAGACGGTGTCGACTTGTCTATGAAATTGTTAAACGAAAAACTAGCCACGCCCAAAATAGCCGCAGTCGAACAACCGAAAACAGAGGAAACACCCGTCGAGGAACCCATCTCGCTCCCCGAGGGATGCACTCAAGTCTACATCAGCCATATCGACACGCCCGGACACTTCTGGCTGCAAATGCTCGATAAAGTCGACAAGATAAACCAAATACAATCGGAACTACAAGAGAAGGCGGACGGTTACACCGATATCGAGAGTCGAGAGATGGGCACGCTGTGCGTCGCCAAATACCTAGCGGATGACCAGTGGTACCGAGCTGAAATACTAGACGCCGACTCCGATATCACGACCATTCGCTTCATAGACTACGGCAACACCGACGTGCTGGATAACCAGCCCGGGTTGATAAAGGAAATGCCCGCACACATGAAGGACATCGAGCGTCTTGCCATCAAGTCCAGTGTGAACGCGATACCGACCGGCACCGGCCAGTGGTCGGAGCCCGCCTCCGACTACTTCACGCAGCTGGTCGGCGACACTTCTGCCCCGGTGGACGCCCTCATCGTCCTCAAGGATATTGTGACATACGTAGATATTTTCGTTAACGGCCAAAATCTAACTGACAAACTGGTGTCCGAGGGTCACGCCACGAGATCCGAGGAGAACGAGTGCGGTGATCTGCCCTCGTGCTTCGCTAGCCACGTCAATTCACCCTCGGAGTTCTGGATACAATTGGAGACCGCCACTGCCGAGCTGCAGGCCATGGAGGCGGCCATGGTGGATGCGGAGAACTTCCCCGAACTTAAGGAGAGGGAGGAAGGTGTCATCTGTGCGGCCAAGTATCCCGAGGACGGCGCCTGGTATAGGGCACAGGTCATCGTCGACGGCTCCGAAGGAACTGAGGTGCTGTTCATGGATTACGGCAATGCGTCTATCGCTAATGAGTTGCGCAGTCTGCCCGACGAACTAAAAGTCAAACCGGCTCTGTCCAGAAAATGCGCACTTCAGAAACCTCGCGATATCAAATCTTGGTCGCGCAAATCGGAAATAAAGTTTAACGAGCTGGCCGCGGAGGGCGCCACTATTTTCAACATACAGTTCATAGCCGCGGGAGATATTTCTATAGTGGAACTCTACTTGGAAGGAAAATCGGTGACAGAGGAGCTCGTCGGCCTGTGCGAGGAGCAGCCCATGTCCGAAAGACCGACGCCCCTCGGCCAAGACTTACATACCAGTGGCAAAATCTGTTACGTTCATTCGTTAGATGAATTTTACGTGCAGACCGATGAATCCGACGCCGTCTTGGATAAAATAAGGGTACGGTTGTGTCAGGGTGAGGAATTCGAACAAGTTTCCGATCTCAAAGTCGGGTCAGTTTGTGCGGCGCTCTGGGCGGAGGACGAGCAGTGGTACAGAGCTAAAATCTTGGAGTTCTGTGACGTAGGGTACCATGTGCAGTTCATCGATTACGGAAACAAAGCTAAATGTGATACATTCAGGCAGCTGCCCGAGGATCTAAGCGTTATCGAACCAATAGCTAAGTGTTGTCGACTCGCCAGTGTCTCAAATGAGGATGCAAAGTTGAAACTGGAAGAAATAGCCGCAGACGGAGCGACGACATTCCAAATAGAATTCTTAGATAGTTTAAAGGAACCGACGCTGGTCAAACTTTTCCTGGATGGCAAAGATGTTTGTTCTATAATATTGTCGAGTAGTAATTTAAAAGATGATTACACAACTGATAATACAGAAGAGGCTGCAGGAACTAGTCAAGAAGTAATATTAGGAAAAGAAATAGCCGAGCCAATAGTTGAAAAAGAAGTTGAGAAACAAGTCGATAGCGATAAAAGTATAGAAGAGGAGACAGTTAGCACTACTTTAGATACTTCGGAACATAAATCACCAGATGTCAGTGAAAGTGTAGCAAGTAATAGTCCAGTAGAAGAGAATAAATTAGAAGCCAATATAAACATGACTGAAAGTGAAAAAGGGGACCAAATATCTTCTAAAGTTGATCAAAGTAGTATAGAAAAAGATATTACTGTTGAAAATGAAACTTCGAAGACTGTAAGCAGCGAATCGAATCTAACTTCTAACGGTGATGTTTCATTACATACAACTACAATAAAGCAGGCTGGGCCTATTGAAGTTTCTGAGGCCGAGGAAGATGTAAAGGAATCTAAATAGTAAACAAAAATATCTAGATTACTCAATTTTCTAATTAAATGCTCGTTTGTGATATACTAATCTTATGACTGCATTTGAGCAATTTATCTCTGGTTTCTGAGACCAATATATCTCTATAAAATGTTGTCTGGTTTTTTTTCAAAGATAATCAGAGGGATAACGATATGTTTTGTATAGATATTTTGGTGTCAGAAACCAGTATTTATGTAAAAGGAATGACTGAGTGAATATATGTGAGATATATAGAGATGGTTCTATTCATATCATATGTTGATTATTTTGTAATTAATCAATATCTGAAATGTCTCTTGTTTTGTTGATTAAGATTTTGTTTGATTTTTTGTATTGACTGTTGCATCTAGTTTACGAAAGTTAAAAATTACTTACTCGCTATTACATCTTTATTATGTTAATATGATTCTATATTTTATTTCCTCATTTTACTGACAAAAAACTTTTTTTTATAAAAAAATTAAAATTTCTTTCGTTTGATTTACGAATTTTGTATAAATACTCGTATTATTGTTTGCTTTAATTGCTTTCGAAGCTAACTTGTCTATGATTAGTTTTTAAGTTTTTTTTTTTACTTTTAATTTGCAGATCCTCTTTGTAGATATATTTAACATTCCCGGTGATTTTTTTTTTGTTAAAATTGACAAAGTTATGTTTCATGAGTGTTACACTTTAATTTTTTTTCAATATAATTGTCATAAAAAATAAGCAATATGTCAAAATGGTTACGGAGATATTTAAACACGGTTTAAAAAGAATTTCTCACATTTCATGTATATCTTATGTTCGCATATTGTTTAATTGTTGCAGAAAATAAATTTTTTATAAAGCTTTTTTTTTATTTCCTTCACTTTATTCGACAACTAGCTGTCGCCCGCGACTGCGTCCGCGTGGTAAAAAATCTTAATAAGTAGCCTATGTGTTCTTTCAGACTATGTTCTACATCTGTGCCATTTCATAAAGATTGTTGAGCTGTTTCTGATATCTTCAAACATCCATCCATCTACACATTGCTATTTATAATATTAGTCAGATATGTCATTAAAATGGTCCTTCCGAGGTAGACAGATAAAAAATATACACAATTAAATCATTTATTTTTTTAAAAGAAAATATGTATAAAATCCACTAAAACATCTGTACAATGTTAATTATATTTGTCATTATATTTACAAGACGTCCAAACATGAGCATCGAAAAACAAATAGAAAACATGAAATAATTATTAATATTTAATAATTTCTAAGTCGGCATTTTCAGAAAAAAGCAGTTTGTTGCGATCTAATAAATAATAGAATAGTCCATCGGCACTTTTAGGATAAAATTGTATTGATTATAAAAATTGTATAATTATTTAACTTGTGGTCTATGACACATTTTTGCAAAAGAAAACTCTCCTATAGATAGATATTTTCAACCTTATTACAAAAAGTAATAAGGTTGAAATAAATACCTTTAAACCTGAAATAAATATTTATAACTAAAATAATTTCATTTATCGTGTTGTACTGTTAATGATAATTAAGATTTGGATAAAATTATACGAAAAAAAATTATACCAATATCTAATACGAAAAATAATTCTTGCTCAACAATATTTTCTTACAAAGCCATGTTTCATATTCATACTGGGAAAATATCAAATATTGTGAACAATTTCTTATATTTTACACCATTAAAACTTATCTACATAAATTCCATAAAAAAACAGTACAATCAAAGATCATTCACCAGGAAAATATACAGACGAATCTGGATATGCAAGAAAAAGTCTCAATTCTTTAGGCACTCGCTCATCCAGGTCCATTTAACCTATTTTATAAGTCCTATAATTCCAACATCTTTTAAATCATCACGTTTTTCTAGTACTAGACCTTTCTCATTAGCGAGATGCAGCACAGAGAGTAAGGCGAGAGGCACACTGAGGGACTCCCGCATGTTGGTGGACAATTTTGCGGGCAGGCGGGAGTACACTGAGAGGAACGTGGTCGGCGTCACCTCCTCCTTTTCCCCTTCTTTCGTCTTGCTGGTCAACATCCTCCAAGTGCAATGTTTCAGTTGTTTCATGTCGACTTTCTTCGCTCTCATTGCGTAAGGTATGAAGATCTTTGCCACCTGTGGACAGGAAAAAGAGATTAGATAAAGAATGACATAGGCAATTGTATACTTTTCATGGAATTTTAAATGCACGAGAAATATTTTGGGATTGGCAAAAAACGAGGGAATTAGTCCTCATACAATACAAAAAATAAAAGTATAACTTTTTTAATTTTATGAATATCTAAAAAAGTGTGGAATACATGCAATATATATCGAAATTTTTCCATCTTAACTCATAATTTTTAGCAATTTAATTTTTTCTAAATTTGCATAACTTCAAGTACTAAATTAATTGCATAGTATAAGGAACATTCTGATTGTTACCTTAGTGGGAGGTTCCAACATGTCACCGATCTCCTCTGGTTCCTGGGCTTTGAGCTGGTCGTGCGGGTCTCCCGCCGCCGCGCCCTCCTCGTTGCCCCACTCCTCACCCTCCTATGTACACATTGTTATTTAGACCACCTGTCCACTAAATGACTACATACATTGCTCATAGAAATAGTAAGGCGCTATTGGAATATTATTTACACGTTATGTGTCATAAGTCAAGTTTTCATGTCCACATTTTGTTGCGGTTTATTCTCTAAAAAAACAATACTTTTTTAACATGTTGAAGCAATGAAAACCCACGGTTATATCGTTAGCTTTGCGCATTTTGATGTTATTGATTTAACTCACGGGTACACTGTTAGGGCAGTAGGAGGCGTCGTTCTCGTTGTTGTAATCATAGTCACGCACATCGTCGACGGCGAGGGGCTCGTGCTCCGCCCCGCCGGCCCCGCCCACACCGCTGGCCACGCCCACACCACTAGCAGCGAGAGCGCGACGCCGGCGCATCGTCACGTTCTGACGCACGAACAACTTGCAGAAGTGGGTCTCGTCTAAACCCCTAATATACAATTAAGAAGTTTATTAACATCTTTGTTCTTTAAAATTTGATTTAACAAATTTTTTTAACTAGTTTTTTATGATACTATAGATTTTTTTTTCATTAAAATGTTATCAAGGAAATAAAGGTTATGAAGGATTCAAGGTCTTTCTTGAGCGTTTTAGAAACTTCCTAAGTCTACAATATTATATTGAAAATTAGTACCTATCAATTGGCGTCTTATAATTAGCTTCATTCCAGGTGTGTCCAGTGGCGAGGGTCTTCCTGGCGATGGTGATCTTTGCGGGCTGGGCGGGCTCGTACTCTCCAGTGGGCGGAGCGCGGCAGTCTGTGGCGAGCCCCGCCCCCAAGAAGTCGAGCTGGCGCTTGCTGCGTGCCGCCTTCTTCTCTATTGTGAGGCGACCTGTTGCCGTTGATTGCGTACGCTCCGATAGCTTCGATGCTGGAATAGTGATACTTTGATTAATTACGATATATAATACATGTTACCTTGATTATGTGTAAAAATCTGACAATCGAAGTTTTTGTTAAAGAATTATATGTTTTGTATAATGTAAAAACTAACACTCATAGTTGTTAAATGGTAACTTAGAAGTTTACCTAGCTCCTTCTAGTAGATTATTGATAAAGCAACTATTTATAAACTTGACTTATGAAAAATGAGGCTTCAAGTGCAGTGTTACCTCTGTTGTTGCGCAGTCTCCAGTGCGCGGGACCAGCCCAGGCGGCAACAATAGCCCCGCAGTACGAGTACTCGAGGCGGGAGTCTCGCGCCGCCTGCGGGCGCATGTCCGCGACACGCGCTGCGCCTGCGCACCTCGCCGCGCACGCCGCCGCCGCAGCCGCCGCCACCGCCACGTCCGCCTCCTCCTCGCTCTCGATACCGCCCAGCGGCTCGTCCTCTGTCATACATAACTTCATATTGTACACGTCACACGATTTACATAACTTTCGCTTGTCTGTTGGATCAATCAATATATTTATGTATATTAGTACCACCTACCAAACAAATCGTTGTGCGCGTCATCATACGGTATGGGCTCCACCTCGGCGTTGACATCGAAGGCGAGCGCCTGCTGCGACAGATTGAGCCGCTCCTCCACCCAGTTGTTGACGCGGTTCTCACTATAAAATATGTAAATTTTGTACAATCATTCAATACTATACTAATATTATATAGGAGGGAAGATTTGATTTTTTGCACTCAGTGGGCACAAAACTACTGAATAAATTTGAAAAATTCTTACAATGATGGGAAGCTACACAGAGTGACGTAGCTATATAAATATATATATATTACTAATTTTTTTTTAAGTCTTTGGCAGCCATAAAGTTAACAATTATTTTAGAAATAGTTTAAATAGCATAACTGACGTATATTCAGTGTCAGGGTCCCAGTTACTGATGGAGAAACCAGCAAAAGGTTCGCAAATACGATCCGCGCTGGTGAATGCCGGCAGCAGTTTGGCTGACAATGTGATGTGTTCCGTTAACTCCAGTTGATCCAACTCATTCTCCTTGATTAACTCCAGATAAGGAGCATCCGTTCTGAAATTGTACAAACATTTATAATACAAATTGCCTTCTTTTCATTATTATAATATTACTAATTTAATAAAGTAAAATTTATATAATTTTAATTCTAGCTATCCCATATAAAAAAAATGTACCTTAAAATAAGTGCTAAAGTGTTGTCATGTATTGGTAAGGTAGCATTAAAGGCCCTGTTCGATGACGTCACATCACCTGTGGTCGCTGCTAGCCTCTCGAAAAACGGATCTGGAAATTTTTGTCACATAAAATTTAATTGAAAAAAGGCAAGTTAACCGAGCCAAAAATTCTATAAATCTTCAAGTTAATTTCTAAGTGTAAAATTTTGTTATAACAAAAATTTGGACAGAAATTTAACAAACACGTATCTTTTTTGAGTGAAATACAAGACATTATACTTTAAAAAATTACTAACCAACAAAATCATTAGCATCAAAGTCTCCATTGAACACCTCTGGGTTGGGTGCGATTGCGCCTTTAGCTCTTTTCTTCTTCTTCTTGACTCGCGCGTCGTCTGCCGCCGGTTCATCGCCTACCTCATCGTTATCGTCTTTCTTACCTCGCTTAGTCTATTAACATAAAATATATTAAACATCGCAAATATTACTAATGCACTTAGAGATGTTCAGTAGTCAGCGCTGGCGCTTAGCGTAGATTAATATGGCAAATGGACTAAGAGAATACTTAGATGATTATGTGTACAGAAGTTAACTAAGAATTCAATTCTTAAATTTTATGTTATTCATTTTTGAATAAATAAATTAATTTGAATGCCTCAGAACTTTATACTTCTTAAACAACTTCAAAACAGAGGAGATTTTCAATTTGTCTATATGTGTTTTCTTCGATTTCTTGTTTATAACGATTATTGACCAGAAGATGGTTGATTGTCAATGGTTGGCACTAAAAAGTTCTTAGTTAACATACCTGAGCAGCTTTACTAAGTCCCCCGGCCATTTTCAGTACATCATAATGCACAGCGTCAACTCTAAATGAGTAAATACGGGCAGAGGCATCAACCACAGTTGATGCTGTCTGCAGGTTGTCCATTCGCGCGTCGTGACGTCGCAACATTGACGTCATAAAGTCTATCAGCTGTAGGTTCCACGCATTATCCTTGTTGATTTTCTGAAATTATACATATATAAGATTGGAGTTTGTTCTGAATACTGGAATGGAACTGTATATTTTAATAGAATGGTAATACATCATGTTAAGTATATATAATATTTTAAAGCATTAGGAAGCACCAAATTTGAGTCACTGCCCCAGCGGAGTAAGTAAATAAGGAAGCACCAATTGACATTGGGTAAGGGGTATGGATTACTGATCCAGCAGTGAGTTTGACTTCAACCATTTGACTTTTATTGAGAATATTTTAGGACAAGCTGCTTATCAGTCACTTAACAAAAATATATTAACATTTTAACATTAACTTAAGAGTTCTTACATTTTCTGCATACAATTTGAGACAGCCTTGGAAATGTTCTTTTTGCGGTGATGATGACATTGTGTCTTTACTCCGGCCCGGCGAGGCCAGCGGCGTCGACGTGACCAGGGCACGCTCTGATGCCACCAAAGATGAACGCTCAGCATCGTCATCATTACGTTCCTAAAAAATTTATACAAAGACCTAGACAAAGTTTTGCTTTTCCAATAGGTTCAGAAAAACAAGTTATTTTATTCAATAACATTTATCACTTCGGTTACTCAAATCTTTCTATTCAGTCTACGTCAAAGTTTGAATTAACAGTTTCTATATATAATTACTAATTACATGAAGAACGTATAAGTGATAAATATTCAAAAGAGTAACAGTAAATTTAGACGTAACATTTCACAAAAATGGTTTTATAACGCAGAAATATGTTACCTCCTCCCTGTTTATCCGATTTTTTTGTGCTATAAGACTTCTTCTACGCAAAGGACTGTTGATCCCGCCAACACTCAGCCTTGCAACAGGGGTGTTAATTATCGAAGTATCCATCGTCATAACATACAAATAGCTTTTTGTTGTACACAACTTATTGATGGTGCATTACAAACATTACTTTAATAAAGTTTGTGTTAATATTAATAAAACTTTGTACAAATAATCTTTTCAACAGTTATCAATCTTTATCAACAAAACTGTTTATAAAAATTCAAAATTAAAACGTATCTGTAACGGACCGACGTTCCGTTTCAACAAATAAATCCAAAAACCAAAATTAAAATGAGTCTTTTTGAACTACCGTGGCAAAATCATGACCTACCTATCAGGGATTACTGTTAAAATTTTCAGATTTCAATTATGATATATGCTTAGTTAAAACTGCGATACGACAAATGCTTGTAATTTGGCCTATTTGGACGGGCTGGTCTCGTGCTTTACATAACATAAATATGACTTTGTTTAGTTCAATACAGAATTGTTATATCATTAAAGTTACAGGCTCTAATTCTTATAAATAACCACATAATAACACCATAATTATACAATACTTTCATTATTACTAATTACTAGAATAAATGCACAATTGTGCATCCGCATTTTACAAGATTAGCTTTTTTGTCCTGATAAATATCTATCTTACATGATTTTACTTGCACATCGTATATTAAAAAATGTTAAAAAAGCCTATTTGTCTCATTTTTGGTTAAATGTGGTTAAATGTTAATCAAATTGTTCTGCATTTTTAATCTGTATTCCCAGCTGTTTGTAATTGGTTTTCGGTTTGTAAACGCCGCGCTTGTTGCCAACTTCCCGTCAGTCATTTTATTTGCTCACTAATAGTTCGCGGCCGACAAATCAGTAAAAATCTTTGTCATCTGCAAGTAATTTTAAAAGTGACAAAATGAGTGCTGGAATGCCTGAATTGGGCTCTAAAATAAGCCTAATATCTAAAGCTGACATCCGCTACGAAGGCCGTCTTTTTACCGTCGATCCTCAAGAATGTACCATCGCTTTAGCTAGCGGTAAGTTGACAAATGGATACTCAGGATATCTGCCTAAATTGCTTTAATCCATTTCTAAAGTGTTTAATTTAGTGTTTTCTATTGTTATTCCTGGAATTATTATAAATATTAGATTTCAGGCAATGTTAGCCGGTCCTAAAATTGATATATTCGTTTCCCTCCTACAGTTGTTTGTTGACTTCTAAAGATAGTTCTCTAGCAATCGTAAAATGAAATCCTGTTTTTTCTTTCCTTTTTGCTTCGAATTTTAGTACCTAATGAAAGATATAACTCGATTATCACGTTTAATTCCATCTACCCTCACAATAACTATGCGACCCGCCTTTCCGAACGATGTTACAGTTTGATGACGTTGATACCGAATCCCTGTAAACAACTTCTGTTTGGTTTTTCGAAGATGTAACAATTTCATTTCGATGTTTCTAGAATTTTTTGTTCAACCATGAGGAACTTAATAAGATGTAACAATTAATTAGTTATTATGTAAATACGTAAATGAAAACAACTATTGCGTTGTTTTTTTATGAAGAAAGTTAAGTAACTAAAAAGTTGTTATTCTTATATCATAGTAGGTAGTTTGATGTTCCCATAAAAATATGAATAAAACTGATATTTATTTCAAATTCTTACATGAAATTCTTATAAAAAAATGTAATTATTACTTGTCTAAAAATTCATTTCAATCCAGGCTAATAGCGATTACATCCTATAATTTTTTAAATTAGCCTTGTTGATGTTAGTTTATGCAGACTGCTCATTCTAAAAACTTTTATTTTTCACAGTGAGATCATACGGTACTGAGGATCGGGAGACACAATTCCCTGTGGCACCTCAGACTCAGGTGTATGACTACATCTTGTTTCGTGGATCTGATATCAAGGACATCCGTGTGCTGAACAATGTCCCGACCATCGCCAACGACCCTGCCATCATGCAGATGTCTGTACCCCCATCACTCACTCCTGGCAGCACCCAGGGACAGTACGGGGGACAATTCAACCACCCGGTGGTGGGTCAGGCAGGGCAGCAATATGCCCAGTACCATCCGATGTCAGGATTCCCCACCAGTGTTCACGCTCAGCTCAACAAGACGAGTGAGTTGTCTCCACAAGCATCAGTGGACCTTGCACCACAGCCACAACCAGCCACGGCTCCAATAGGATCAGGAGTGATTCACCATGGCAACCAAGTGAAAGACCAAGGTTTATTTAATTTGGAAAATGTCAGCTTTAGCTTTCATACATATGCTATTTTGCGATTTTTGCTATTATAAAAAGTGAATGCTTTGTAATCTTAGAGTATTAAAAAAATCAACACTATAGTTTTGTTGTTTTAGAAGGTATGTAGAAAGTTCATACAAAGCATTTGTTTTGTGATTGCATCATTATAATTGCCTGCATGCATTTTTTTTCACCCACCCTCATCTTTAGAATTTTTTAATGATATTACACATATGTATTGTAGTCTAGCTAAGTATGTTATGTATATATTTTGATTTAATTAACCATCTTACCTGCAAAATAGATTTTTTTTAAACCTACAGTACTAAAGTAATTCTTATATATATTTATAGGTGTGAAATAATATGTTAGATTAATATGAAGTCAAAAAAAATCCTTACCTGTTACATTAAGATTAATTTATATAATTATAACGAAATAATTAAAACAAAATTAATAATTGTTATTTAACCAACTAATTACCTAACAATCGAGTTGTTTTATTATTAAAAAAAAATTAACAACAGAAAATCGCAATCTGCATCTTTTCTTCCTTGGTCTGTTGCTTGTGTAATAAATATAAATAATTTTGTAATGAATAAATTTTAGTAAAGTAATTGATAGAAATATTAGTTTTTTCTTGGATGCTAAAGTCTTCAATGTAATCAAAAAATTAAATTATTAAAAAGTTGTAACTCTATACATTTATAGGTCCATCTACCTGCCATTACTTTGCTTTGCTTTTTTTATTTACTAGTTTTTTTTCTGCATCTTTAACGTTAGCCACCCTCATCTATATGTAAAAAATCTCATAATTGAATTTTCACTTTCCGCTCAAATAAGCTTTGTAAATTTTACTAAACACCAAAGGTTTTCTCAGTTTCATGTTTCCATTGTTCTTTTGCAACAGTTTTATATTCAATTTTTAATTGAACATAGCATCATACATGTTATTTCATTCACTGCCATTTGTTTAATTACTAAGGGAAGCTTTTAGGAAGCACATATTTTAGGATTTAGTATAAAAAATTCAGACGGAAAGACTGCTGAGTAGCTGTTCAATGGCACTTAAGAGCTTACTGCCGCACTGAATAAATAATACATACTTAAAAATTTGTTATACCTTATTAGGCTCCATGCTGGATCTCATTGGAGGTGGATGTCAACAAAATAACTCACGCTCGGGAACTCCTGCTGGCCATAGGAAGAGTCCAACTGCTGACCAGGGTACTCAGGTAATATTTCAAATCATTATTTGTATATTTCAAAATAACTGCACTCTCCACTATATTTATACACACAAATAAAAAGGATTCAACTATATTATCTATAAATATTTGTGTACAGGTGGGTTCGGTAGCGAGTGGTTCGGGGCAGCGCGACAGAGGGCGCGGCGGAGCGCAGAAGGCGGGGCAGCAGCGCGCAAGGCCCAACTCGCGCACCCGCCAGCGTCTGCCCAGTGGGGGCTCCGCTGGTGCCCCCACTACTCAGCCGCAGCCTGCTATCCCTGCGCAGCAACAGCAGCAGCAACAAATGCAACAGCATAACCACCGTCAACCAGGTAATTGTTATATTATTGTGATGTGTTGTAACTATTTTTTAAAAACAATATTACTTTTCAGAAACATATATTTTATACTAGTTTTGTTGATCTTTAAATCAATCTCCATATGCTTGCTTTAGTGTTGTCAACCAAGAAAATGTATTAATTTAACTTCTATAAGTTTAACAAAATATATATTTCATCTCAAAAACCTATGAAAAGTGTATATCTCATAATCCATTTTGACATAATGTAAATTTGCAGCAGGTGCGTATGCAGGTCAGAACTTCGGTCGCGGAGGCTGGCGGGGAAGGGCGCGCGGACGCGGGCGCGGTTTCGTGCCGCGCAACAAGAATACGCTCAAGTTTGAAAATGACTATGACTTTGAGCAGGCCAACACTGAGTTTGAAGAGCTGCGCAGCCAACTTGCTAAGACCAAGATATCCGAGGGAGAGACCAAAGTTGAGGTTAGTTGTATTATTTTTTTATCCCACCTAATAGTTACCTTTGCTAGTGGTATTGAACCTTTACCATCATAACTACCTAAACTTTTGAATATTTAGAAATAAAAACGCAAAAGTAATAATTAATATTAAGTCACTAAACCTTTTTACAAGTCAAGATTTGTTACATTGTGACAATTATTCTATAAATGTAAAACAAGGTGACTGTTATGTTTCCAGGTCGACGTGCAAGGTGAAGTGGATAAAAAAGACGATTCTGGCAACGAGACTGGCGCTGGCGAGCCTGAGGTCGACGAAGATCCTTCAGGCTTCACCGGCTATGACAAGAACAAGAGCTTCTTTGATAACATCTCCTGTGAGGCTGTTGAAAGGTATTCACTTAATTATGCATTAGAAAGTTCTTCTATTTTGTTTACAGGAACATTAGAACCATTGTCATTTTGTTTATAATCATATTGTAAGTATTATGGTCTAGATTTAGGGAATTATGGAAAGCTTAAGGCAGGCATAGTTCAAAACACTTATTCAAAATCATTCAGTATATTTGCCAATGGTTTTAAAGCAACATGACTATGTTGGTCGTAGGTCAAAGGGACGCAGCCAGAGGACGGACTGGCGGACGGAGCGCAAGCTGAACTCTGAGACGTTCGGCGTAGCGTCGGCGAGGCGCGGAGCGTGGCGAGGCCGGCCCAACTGGCGACACAATATGCACAATATGCACAACATGCACAATATGCACAACATGCATAATATGCACAACATGAACAACCAACATCACCAGCCGTAAGTATATGGAAACATAGCAATAATGCCCCTATGTGAGTGCCGTTTTATTCCACAGTACAAAAGTTAAATTTCATCTGTCATTATACATATGATATAACCAGGTTTCAGGCTGGTTTTTGGGAGTTTCTAAGCATCAGTATATTGTGTCGATTTTTGGAGTAGGACAGGATATTTTATATTCGATTAGTACTCTCTCTACTACTACTCGCGGAATAACAAAAAAATCTTAATTAGTACCCTAAGCATTTTTGAAGATAATATAATGTGATGAAAGAGCAGTTTGCACTGCTGATGTAGGATGTCGTACTTCCCCAGCTGGCGAGCGATGCGCGGTGCGAGAGGCCGCGGGGGTAGCACGACCAACTCGCGCCGCCCCGCCGTGCCCGCGCCAGCAGCGCCCGCTGCCCCCGCGCCCGCGCCTGTGCACAACGCGCAACCCGCAGTCGCGGCAGGTATGGTACCGTGCTGTCCATCATTATTTGTTTCTTAATTACTTGAAATTAAAAATAAATTGATTAGTTTTTTATGGTAAAAGTTCTTTCCGGGTGACTTCAGCTAGTGTCTGCTATGAGACCCTCTGTAGGAACATATATGAGCTGACAACTAAAACTTCTGAAGACTATGTTAATTGAACCAGTCATAGTGACACCTTAATAAATAGCCAATAATTTTGCGAATAACACAAGCTTTGATTTGTAAAAATTGGTTATGCATCCAAATTCTCTTTAATATAATGCACATGTTATGTTTTTATTTTATATGTTTCTATTGAAGTTTTCATGAATGAACTTTAAAATGTGTGTGTTTGTTCACAGCGAAGTAGCTTGGCGCCGGGTGAGGGCGGAGGGAGAAACACTGGATTTTAATTTATTATCGCATGGACTGTTCGCTGAGCAAATAAGTAATGGAAAAGTGTCTGGTGATTGTAGTGGTTATTTAATCCGTTCATGATAGTGTGAAATGTTTGCGGGAAAATATTATTTAGGTATGTGAATTTAAGATGTCGGACATTGCTATGGTTTGATAGTGTTGTATCCAATAAATGGAAGGTGTCAGATTGTATTCCCGCAAGAGAACAAAGCATCTACGTCCAAATGTTTGCAGATTATAGTGCGGCGGCGAGGTGAGTGAAATGTGTTCACTATTTTGGGCAGTTTATATTGACCTCACTAAATTTTGACACATGTTTATAGAAGCTATGTTAGGCAAATGTTTCTGTGATTCTGGATGCCGGAAGTTCTGTATAAGGGGGTCATGTACGCGACCTCTGTATAGTTAAATATTTTCGTTATGCCCAATCCAGTACATTTTACTAGCTTCACACATTATCCAGTTGTGCCTAAACATGATTTTAGATTGTTAAAAGTTATCATAGTTTCCAAATTCATTGCATTTTTTCTAATTTTTGAATATTGATTAGTGAAACTGAACAGCAGTCCTACTATTGTACAGTTAACTTAGTAAATTTGGCATATTTGAGATACCTTTGAGCGGGTTCAGATTGCTCTGCAGGCCAGATAACAAACGAATTTTGTAGGTAGACTAATAAAAACTACTCAAGGTGTCTTTGGCTTTAACTTAGAAATTACTCGAGTGATTTGTTGACTGTCATTTTATTGTTAGATATTTAATGTGACGTAGGACTGCTGATGTCGGAGCTGTGTAGCCAACATTGTAAAGTGTCAATGGACTGGGGGACTATCGGTGACATTTGTTGTAAAATGATGCTGTCACATATAAGGGCTGCTTACTGCCAATTGTAAAGTTAGCTCCAGAAAAAATTAAGTGTTTTACTACACTTTATATTTTTAGTATTTTCAAAATCTTCAATAAGGAAATGGGACTGTTTTAATTGTCTATATAAATGGTAAAAGATTTTGTAAACTTGAGATATATAAAAAGGATCAGTTTCAATATATACTTTCTTTAACATATATTTTTTGTTTTGTTTTTTGATTAAAATATCTGTAACTCGAACTGTACCTGGTCATTGTATGAATATAAAAATATATGTTTACGACAAATCTTCCATTTTATATTTCTTTTTTATTTTTATTATGGAAGAAATAAACCTATAATCAAATAACCCGATCAGAGTACTACTAACTACTTGTATAAACGAAAATTGATGAGAAAAAGGAGACAAAATTAGCAATTATAAAAAAAAATATGACACATTTTTTTTGAAAAAGGTTAAGCTATTTAAAATTGGAATAAAACCCCAATTATATCTTATATTTTATTGCAAATCAGAACAAAAGCCGGTACAAAATGTACTATTCAATGGTTACACAACTTACAATCGTCCAAAATTTTAATTTAATTAACAGTTAACTAATAAAAATGTATAAAACAATGTCAACAACATACAAAACGTTTTTTAATTAAATTTAATATTGAAATAGAATTTAAAATGATTCATTTCTGGACAGTTTTAAAAAACTAAATGTCAAACATGTGTAACTTTACGTAAACAAAAACTTTAACATTGGCAGAATACATAACACACATTACGAACCTTATATTATTATTTTTTGTACAATCAACTATTTAGTTAAAATACTGACCACAAAGCATAACTTTTTAGCTAAAATGGTAGTTTTAACTACAAAACTGATTCTACCGAAAATGTTATATTGTCACCAGCTTATTGAACGTTAGTCTATAATCATACGGTGGTAACATTTCTAAGCTGAATTTTTCATACCTTATTATTAGATTATTATAAAACACTTTATAAAATATAAATGCCTCCTTATCCTTTCCCTCTCCCATGCAGGTACTATATCTAAAGAATGAAAATATTTACAGAAACACTTTTAGCATCATTTAACAGTGGTCGGCAACATTTTTAGTCATGAGTAAAAATTGAGTAAAATTGTAGTGTTAAAAGTGATTGTCCTACTTACTGTGGGTTTCTGAGACTAAAATCTATATAAAATATCGGCATCCCTGTCCTTGTTTTAAAACAGTTTTAAATGGAGATTTTGGTATCAGAAATCCATGGTCAGTAATTTGATGGTTACTAAAGGCGACCCACAGCGTAAATTATGAGTGAGAAATGTAGACTAAGGGGCTACTTGATTCACGAGTTACTTTGAGTAAGGCAGTGTGATTGATTTTTAAGATATTTCGCATAGTCTCTCGAGAAAAAGGTTGCCGACGCCTGTTTTTCTTTAGTAAGTATTGAAAAAGTTTTTATTCATAAGTATTGGTAAGCATCAGATACATAATATATTTGAGCCATTTTGGATACACTAATTATTAAATTTAATCAAATGTTTCCATTACAATTACTAAAAAAAAGTTTTCTTCAGTTTCACTCCCAAATATTTTATTTTTCTTTTACCAGCAATATTGCTTCTAGGCAAAGTGATATCTTCAGAACACAACCTTTTAAAATTACGTGACTGTAGCATATATATGAAAATTAGTGATATAATGCGAGGAATTAGGTGTTCTGGAGGTCTAGATGAAGATTGGTAATGATGAATAAATGATCAAAATTAGTTGTTATCGAGTAAAAAAACCCTTATGCAAAGCTAAATATGGTGTGCAGATTACGGTAATGGTAAGTGCAAAAAATAATATAATAATGAATATATTTTATATCAATAACTAAAAGATGTCCAAGTTTTTTTTTACTTTTTTTAAACATACTCATGGAGTTATTTATTGTTGGCAAATTACTGTACATTATAATTAAAAGTGGTGATAGACAAGAATGAAACTATGTAGATTTATATAAATAAAAAAGCGTTAAATGAGAAACAGATTGCTTAGCTTTATTCCTATAAGCGTATGATTCAATTTCCCAATGATTTCTGCGTTGAAATTGGAACATGTTTTGTGATATGTTGCCAGGTTCGTTTGAGTTAGCCGCGCCATTCTCGCGGCGGTTGACCATTTTCGACCACCCATACAGATCCACTCTGTCCCTTCAATAATAATTCTATCAGAGCTCTGCCAACATGTTCTGGGCTGAAAACAATTAAAATAATACGTTAAAAAGATAAATTTATGGCCACACAAGTATGCATTATCCTTGAACCTTTAAAAGGCCAAAAAGCCTAGTAGCTACGGAAAAAAAGCTGTCATGGGTTCGATTCCCACCGCTATTGTCATGAACCATAGCCTAGCAAAAGCTATTAGTTGACACAATGAGTCGTCACCTCTGAGTCTTGCAGTTGACATGATCTCGTTGCCAAGCGGCCTCGTACTCGGAAGACATGAGCTGCTTGCGGATTTCCTTGACGAGACCAGTGTCAGTGAGGCCGGGGCACAGCGCCATGCTTCGAACGCCTGTCAACCCCACGTGGTACTGATCCTGCCAAGTGCACACATATTATGTTCCAAAATACACCGAGCAGTAGGAGCAAATCATGACAACAGAAATGCATAGATTTATTTATATATTCCAGTTCCCGCACAACTATAAATTTCATACAAATTCAACGTTCAAAGGTGTATGGTTTCAAATAAAAAATTGTATCATTGGGTCGCTCTATGAAGCTATACTTTCGTATCAATCTATCAGTTTTAATCCAGTACAGATGACTTGCGAGCGCAACACAGCAGCAGTCAAGGTTCGTCCGCGCGTTGACGACGAACGAACGACGCGACACGGTGAGGCGCTCCTAATAGCTTCATATCGTGTCATTCATTCATTTCTTCATCAGTCTGACACCAAGTGCAAATGTGCAAGATACGAATTGAAAGTTCAATCATCTCTCTTTCCGTTGTCGAAAGATAAAGTTATCGCACTTAACATATTTCCTGTGTTATTGAATTGCATCGTATTTGTACACAAACGTTTGTACTGTGGCTACGATGCGGTGCTCAATATCCAGCAAAAGTTACTTTATACGTAAATTATTGTTATTGTGCCGAAACCCTGAATATTTTCTATCGGTGGCTTTTAGCTAGGTTAGTTTACACTTTTATAAATGCCTAGTGGCTGGTATCAGTCGTCTTGATCCTGTAGGGTGTCCCTTATAAGGTACGAAATTAGTAAAAGTAAGAGATATAATAATAATAACTACACAGGTCAGTAAGTTCTAATTTACATACCCCATATGCACGTGTGAGACCAACCACAGCGTAGTTAGTCGCCGTGTAGATGGGCGTAGAGACCTGTGGTCTGGCGAACGCAGTTGACGCCGTGTTGACGATAGTCCCGCCTTGACCACCGCGGTCTTTGCCCATGAAGCGGTACGCCAAAAGAGTGCCACGGATAACTCCGTTCTAGAATTTTAACATTTTCTTTAAAATATTTTACAATAGTTGAAATTCATTAATTTTACCAAATATTAATTAACAACTTACCAAATTCACGTCGACTTCTAATTCCCAAAATCGATCGTTCATAACCCCTGCATTGTTTATAACTATATCCAGTCTATTGAACACTTTTATTGTCATCTCAAACGCCTCTGGAATTTAAAAAAAAGTGAAAATATTATGAAGGGCAATTTTTGAGGAGCTTTTAATAGATCAAGGTCATTGCCTCCCACATTTTTACTAGAAAAGAACAACCATACTTACACTAGATTAGATCGAGTAGAGAGAAAATAAAAAACATGGTTTAAGTTACTGGTTACTATTCTTTTGAAAAAAAAACATAATTACCCTCATATTGTGGATAATCTGTGACGTCACACTGGCAGAAGAGCACGTTCTTTCGTCCATACTTGACTCCGAGCTCATCCGATACATGTTCTCCAATTTCAGAATCGATATCGCACAAGGAAACCTATGAAATGTTAACCGCAATATTTTTTATTTTGTGCATAGTGAAATATGCAATGATTACAATTAATCGTGATAATAATTTAAGTATACGTGTCAACTTATGCAGTCTATAATTAGGTTAAATATTAGGTTGGAAATAATGAGATTTGCTTTAAATGGAACGCAGCCATCGACTTGCATATCATTCTCGTCTCTCCGGAGTCGTTTTTGTACATTTATAAATGCAAATGTTTAGTTTAATGGATGGATGGATGTTTCAAGGTATCTTCAGAACAGCTACATGGATCTTGCTGAAAGGCATAGATGTAGAACATAGTCTGGAAGAACACATGGGGTACTATAATAATTAAGTATTTATTTTATTTCGCGCGTACGAAATCGAGATAATACGAAAACAGGGTGTTTCTCTTCAATGCAGCAAAGAAGGAGGAAAGATCTAAAGCATGCAATAGTGCATACGGAGTACTAATTTCACAAATCACACAAGTTTGGGAAAAGAAATTACTCGTAGATCATACTAATCGTAAATCAGTAAATTATCCAAACTAACTCAATTTGAAAGGAAGTATAATCTATTAAATTCAATAGTTAATTATTCCTGGCCATTACTTTTCTCGACATCGCTCGCTAATTGCATTGTATAAATATTTTATAGCTTTTCAGACAGCGCCGGAGAACTATAGAAGCGTGTTTTCAATTACTCACTCTTTTGCAGTTTTATATTATTTTTTCTATAAATTGAATGTTTTTAAATGATGGTATAATTTAATAACTTATATGTAAATATAAATGTTGCCATTTTTTTATCAATCATTTATTCTGTTACGTATATAATCATATAAATGACTAACGCGTTAAATGTTACGCGTGCGTTTTATAGACAAAAATATCACGTATAATTCAGTTTACAACATCCTTTAACAATAATTTAATATTGTTTATAAACAGCTATCGAAAATGGTAAACATTATTCTAACGGAAACTTTGCTTCTCTGCTTTTGGTTTTTTGTTTTTTTTTTTAACTGAGAATCGTTAAAACCCATGGACTCCAAAAATACTGCCATCTATAGGGTTTAAGTGTCGATAAAAATTCTTTTAGTTGCAGTGAAATTGATTCATCATCTAATAGTTCAATGACTCTACACATAAAAACTTGTACTTCAAATATAGGCAGCCAATAAATTGTAAAATAAAGCGGTTACCGCTATTAGGGTTAAATCAATTAGTTGATTGCGCGGGGAAAAAACAAGTGCTTACGCAAATTAAATTTACTAACACGAATGCACCTAAACAAAGCGCTACAAAAATGAGAGGAAAAATTATATTTGTTTTGCGGCAAGTTATGAGTGTTTAATTATTTTCTATTATTAAGTTATTACCTAAAAGGAAAATTTAAAGTTCACGTGAATAGCAGTAATAAGGATGTTTCGATCTACAGATCACAAGTACATGTCTGTAAAGGCATTTACAGGAAAAGTTTACAAGAAAATGAAGCGACCACCCGGTCGACGGAGAAAATCAATACAAAATACCATTGACACGCGAATAAAGTTATTTCTTTGACTTTTCGTAAATCAAAATGCACGGTAAGTGTCGTCCGATCAGGTTAGGGGAGGTTTTCATTCAGCACACATTAAATCTATATGAAAATTGTTCAGTAGTACTACGATGCAGCGTAGTGTAAGGCGTGTACCGGTGAGTGTCGTACCTTTGCGCCTTGCTTGAGAAGTTCCTCGCAATAGGCGAGGCCGATGCCGGCTGCTGCTCCCGTGACCAAAGCGACCTTCCCCTTCAGCTCCATGACGTATATTGTATGCAAGTTTTAGCGCCGCGCCCAATGCGGCCGTAGCGAGCTTGCAGCGGTTGTGCTGTGCCGCGTTCGATCGCGACGGGCGCGCCGAGCGGCTGCGGGGATGGGGCGAAGGGGGTCACTCGGGGCGGGCGTTTTCTCCCCAAAATTCCCCTTCTGTAGTAAATATACGCACGATCGCGCACCACTCTCGCTATCTGCACACACTAGTCGATTCAGTGCCGTGCGGACGACGCGCTTCGGGGGACATTGTCACTTTTCTATATATAGTTAGATGCACCACGCTTACGAGGAAGCGGCACCGTAAATAATGGCTTGTGGTGAAAATAAAACACGAACGCCTTTCTATAGATTTATTTTTATAATGTTTCCATACATATACCATAATTTTAGCTGATTAAAAATAATTCGTTTCATTTTTTTAGGATATATACGTAGACATAAAATATCACAGATACAATAATAAGCCTAAAAGCATCAAAAACGCGACCACAATGTCCAGTCGCGAGCTGTACACAAAATACGAAAATAAATTTGTATCACAAATTGATTACAATGCAAAAAACTTGAAAATTTACAAATCACACAATATAAAACATTCTAAAATCACATAAAATAATCACATGTCACGATTTTGATCTACATAAAACAATTAACAAATATACAAACAAAACATTTCAAACTGTACATTTATAATGAACATGATTTTGCACGGATAAATTAATATTTTACACAAAAAAACTATGTACAATATCACAGTAATTACATTATAATAAAAGAAAAATAGAGTTCCTAATACTATCACAGATCAATACGTAGTAAATTCAAAATCTTGTTTCCTCATTGCACTAAACATTGTTTTTCTATTTTGCTTCCTCTATTTTTAATCACGACGAAACCAAACACTCGTTAGTAAAACACGAAAACCATTTTTTTTTAATTTTTCACACAAATTCACGTTACAAAACAAAAAACAATTTCGAAAACTGAAACATAAAATTTAAAATGTTCGACTTTTTTTTATTTTAGAAACAGCCAGTTATAATTTTGATTGACATTTTTTTTTAATTTTTAGAAACGGCCAGTAGTAATTTTGATTAACTTTTTTTAATTTTTAGAAACGGCCAGTAGTAATTTTTATTTACATTTTTCTAATTTTTAGAAACAGCCAGTTGCAATTATGATAGCGAATAGCATTGCAGAAGAATAAAGAGGTAAAGGCTTTTAGTGATGGGCTTGGTCAGCACCCGCGGCGGGGACAGCCTTCGCCAGGTAGGAGAAGGATCGCGCATTGGGCAGGCCGGCAAGCACGCACGCGCTCAGAGCTGACCGGTTCAAGTTCATTGGCGCTGCGTCGTACCATTCCAATGTATCGCCATCGTAGCACTCCACGTGCGGAATTGTTGTCGATCCTGTGTTGTAACATGTTGATAAGCTTGTTCATTAAAAAAAATACGAATAAATCCACTAAATAATGTCTGTAGTTTTTTTCAATATAAGTTCGTTCTTGCTAGAAAATAATGAATAACTTACCGTTGAATCCACCAATAACAAAGATCATATCGTCCAGCAGTACAGTCGCAAAGTTGCTTCGTGCGCTGAACATTTCCGTTATTTCTTGCCAGTCACCACCGCGGTGCGGGCAAAATCTCTCACCTTTAATTTTAAAAAGAACTTGCAAAGTTACGAATATACGAGCTTAATTTAGATCCATATAGCTGATTCATTGATCAACTAACCAGTATTCAGTCGGCTGTATCCATTGAACCCGCCGAGCGCATATAGCGAGTCGCGGTAAGCTATGAGACTGACGCCGGAGCGAGGACTCAGCATGGATCTAATAAAGCACCACTGCCGCGTCTCCGGGTCAAACATCTCCGCTGAACTCAACACCTCCTGACCGTTGAAACCGCCCACAATGTAGATCTGTCAAACAAAAAAATCTTAGTTTTAAAGATGCAGAGTTTTTCAAATGCAGCAAATTACTTCGCTACCTCACCGGAGCAGACAACGAGGCTTAGTAGAATATGAACTTACAAAATATGTTTTGTGGCTTTCGAATCCTTTTATCTATCTACGTAGATTGCTAAAGTTAAAAACTATTAATATACAAAGACGAATCGTCGACTAATATCGCTTAATATCATACCTTACCGCCTAGTGAGGCGGCGCTGGCATCAGAGCGCTGCTTGTTCATGGGCGTCGTCATCTCCCACTGGTTCTTGTCTGGGTAATATCTCTCTACCGACGACATCCGCGTACGCCCGTTGTATCCGCCCAACGCGTATATTAAACCGTCTGCTAGATTAATTATTAATGAAATTATGAAAGACAGATATATTATTAAAGGGCAGAAAGCGAAAAAGTGTTTTTCAATCTGTTACAAGGAAAAATTCCGAGAGATTGCAATTTTTTTTTATCTGTAATTGCTAATAGCAATGTCACATTAAGAGACGAAACTTGAAACATATTAATAATGCGGAAAAATAACAAATAATTGCAAAGATGACATAGCAAAAGTATCTGAAAAGTTGTCAAATATTTTCACCAAAAGACATAGAAAAGATTAGGCAGCACGTTTCCGTATCGTAAAAAAATATTTAAACGAACTGAGAACCTCCTCCTTTTTGAAGTCGGTTAATATTATCATAATAATTACCGTGCACGACTACGCTGACGTAACAACGAGCTTGATACATGCAGGCGCGTTCGTGCCACATGTTAGATACAGGGTCATAGCACCGCACAGTATTGAAATGGTCGCTGCCGTCGAAACCGCCAATCATGTAAATCAAATTGTTCAGAGTACACAGCCCGTGGTACGCTCGAGGTGTCAAATCCATGTGGATCGAGAGAAACCAACGGTCAGCTCTAAAAAAAATTAGAATGCTTTGTAAGCAACACTAAATCTTTACAATGAATTCAATAAACCATGTTATTTAACTAAAATCTACCGTGTATCGTAAGTCTCAACAAAACTGGTAGGACTACCAGCGCTCCACCCGCCAACAGCAAATAGAATCTCGTAAGGTATTCGTGGCCTTGCCAATGGGTCATTTAAATCGGCTTCTGTACCAGGTCTGGAGTCCAACAATGTTAGGAATACCACCGCCGGGTATAATGCTTCTTGACATTTCTAGAAAACGCCTTAAAGTTAAAAATCACGTTTTAAGTTACGCAATTTCATTTTTAAAAATAAATTTTTTAATTTTAATCACTCACCTCGTCATCAGCGACCGGTTGCCACTGAAGTATTTTGGATTTAAAATATTTGTAGCTAATGTGTCCAAATCGCACACACGAAAGCAAAGCGGGAACATACTTTCGTCTATTTTCTAAATCATGTTCTACCCACGTTTTAACTGCTTGGAAAACTATTTCTTCATTTCGAACATTCAGCTCATCGTCTCTCAGTATATCCTCTAATTCTTCGTATGACAGTGATTTAAATTCATTGCACTCTTTAAGAATTCTAGCGAAATTCTGTCTTATATACAATTTACCTTTTTTCTCCAATTCGCTACAGAAATAGCATCTAGCAAATTTAAATATTCCAAGACAGTTGTGTGGTCTTAGTTCCTGCATTAGTAACTGGCAACATAGTTGAATAATGCCCACAACATCAAATTGATCTGCATACGGCAACAACTTTTCAACATTTTCTACTGTTACTGTACACGTGCCTGTGTATGCATAGTCAAGAATCAACCCCATGTAATAACTTGGAACATCTACAAATATCTCTGTCTCTTCAGGTTGTCCCTTCTTTAGTGAATTCACAAATATTGCTTTGAAGTATGGGCTGACCGCTGATAAAATTGCCCTATGAATCCTAATGGATTTCATATCTCTGCATATAATTGTGCCGTCGCATAGCTGATCGTTCTGTCTCAATTCATTCCAAATAGCAGGAAACTCAACAATTGAATAATTTTCAGGCAAACAAACACATTTACGTTTTCTTGTAACCGTCTTCTTTTTAGTTAAACGAGGCTTGTTGGCAGATGGAGTACGAGCGGAATTTTTGGTTTTAGATAATTTTCTATGTTTCGTATTAAATTCCATCACTTCCGAAAAAACGGCGGTCGAAACGTTTCTGTCGCGATGACATATTTCAAGTCAAAAGTTTTCATTTGTTTATTATGTATTTAAATATTTGAACTCGTCCCGATGTTTCACCTGCCTGATTTTGCTTTACCCAGGAAAACCCTATTGCAGACAAACGAAAATGAAACTAACAACTAGCAATACCCACGATTGCAACCTAGAAGGGTAGACGGTAGACAGAGATTATGGATTTCCATTTGGCTCGGTCCTGGCACACCTTTCACGTCTCTTCCACTTTCATATATCTATGCATATTGTTATTAAATTTTATGGCACACATGTTCGTAAGGTTTAGACCCTCTTAATACTGTTCTTCTTGTATATTATTTTTCTTATTCATAGTTTGTATTATTTTAATTTATGTACCAAAAATAATACTTACATTTTTAGTTAGTTTTTTGGAATGGTAACAAGTAAAGTAGTTTATGGAAAGATGTTATGCTGGTAACATCGATCAGAAAAGTCAAATAGTGTTGTTGTCTATTGAACTCTCTTTTTCTTCCGGTTGTCAAGATGGTGAGTTTTGTTGAAGCAAATATAAAATAAATCTATAAAAATCTAAGTGAAAACGTAGTGTTGTGAAAGTTTATAGTGTTTTTTGAATAAAGCAGTGATATAAATATGTGTTTTATTCCTTATTTCAGGGAGTGGACATCAACCATAAACACGACAGGAAAGTTAGGCGCACCGAAGTCAAGTCTAAGGATATATACCTTAGGCTTTTGGTTAAGGTAATTATATTATAGTTGCTACAATATGCATTACGTATGAATAATATTGGTATATAACACTTGTTAGCTATATAACTGAATTGTCTTTGTTTACAGTTATACAGATACTTGGCCAGACGTACAAATGCTAAGTTCAACCAGATTATTTTGCGTCGTCTATTCATGAGCCGCATCAACCGACCACCAATTTCATTGTCTCGTCTATCACGTCACATGAAGAAGCCAACCCGCG